ATTCTCTTCCAACTGGCAATGTTTAGAAAGCTCTGTGGTATGCCCTTGGAGCTCAGAGCAATGAAGGGACATTACTTGAGCACAGGTGAAGAAAAACTCCCAACAAATGTAAACGGACACTGGTACATGCGCAGGCTCAAGCCCATTCAGTGAAGGTGGGAAATAAGTAAAACTTACCTCTCCACCTTCATTGAATCCTCGGGTTGCTGTCCTGCAGAGCTATTTAGCTAAAGGTTTGCTAACAAGTTTTGGACTTCATCATTGGTGCTAATGATCCTGGTGAGATGTCTGGAGTGCTGTCTTCTCTGATGTCGTTGGATGGAGTTCAGCTGCTGCAGTTTGAGGACCAGGCAAGGTCAGGTTCATGTAACTGCTTGTACCTTTGCCCCTCCTGGTTTATAAAATCTGGCAGAGAGAAGATAGCTGGATGAGCCAGGGAGGTAACTAATGCTTCTCTTCAAGAAGGAGTGGTCCCAGGTTGCCTGAAGGAAGTGATTCCCTTTCTGGCCAAAGTTCTTGAGAAAGTGTTTGCCAACCAGATCCAGTTCTTGGAGGAGACAGCTTTTGAAGCTCCATTTCAACTGGGATTCAGGTCTGGTTTTGATATGGACCTGTGTGAGGAAAGAAATGGAGGAGTGTGCCTCCTTTCACCCTCCTTGATATCTTGACAGCTTTTGATACCATCCATCATGGTATCCTTCTGGGGAGACTGTCTGAGTTGGGTATTGGGGGCACCACATTTCAGTGGTTTCATTCCTGCTTGGATACCCAGGTCCAGAAGGTGGTTCTTAGACTGCCTTGCTCAGCCTCGTGGGTTTTCCAGTGTGGGGTCCCACAGGGTGGGTTCTGTCTCCCAGGCTGCTGAACCTCTACATGAAACAATTGAGTGGGGTCATGTGGAGTTTTGGTGTGCATTGTTATTTGTATGCTGATGGCACGGAGCTCTATTTTTCCTCCAAATCTTCTGCAGGTGAGGCTTCTGTTCCTATGCTCTGAGCTTCATAAAGTCAGGATATATGCAGGAAGGATAGCTATAGCACAGGAGGTTTCTCTAATGGAAGTGACCCCACCTCCCCCAGGTCTGGCATGTGCCACAAGCATCCCCCTTGACTCCTTGATTTCTTCAGCTTTGCTCTACAAGTGACTTTGCAAAGCACTTCGTTTTCGCAAACACAATAGAAGAAGCAAATTCTGGCATACACCAGTCATCCTCGTCAACAGGAGAGGAGCGAAGCTGAGAGGAGCAAGAGTTTCAGATGTGTACTAAAGCCTAAGTGTGCACCAACTGCCAACAGAGGCATCTTATAGCAACAAGCAGACTTCTTTTGCAAATTCCCTGTGGTTTGTCAGAAAAGTGGACCCAGGATTTTGAAATTGCATGTAGGCTTGATGTGAAGAGTGTGGATTCTGGGGTTAAGGATGCTATAGATTGCCATGGGTTCAGACCAGGTGCTCTGAGGGTCAGGAACCAATTCCATAATACTTTTGTAAACCAAGAAATCTCTAATAAAATATATATTTAAAAAAAGAAGAAGAAATCAATTCCATACGTTGTGCTCCATTGGGTTAGCTACTTTAGGGGAGGAACTGCATGGAGCTCAAGCCAAGATACCATGCACACAGCAGAAAGGAAGAGACACAGCCCATCACATGCTGCAGGTGGTTCTAAAGTGTCAGAATCAGTACCCATCCCTCAGTCTGAGCAGCTAACTATTGAAGGAAATTGCTAGGGATTCCTGTGTCTGCTGGCCTCCTTCCTCTCTGTTTCTGGTCCTTGCTACCTCTCCATATGTGCTGACTGGACCTTGCCAAGAATCATGTATTTATGCCTGACAGAATACCTCAAAAAGGGATACCTGACAGGAGCAGAGACTTTCTGGTGCATGGAAAGTTTGAGAAAAGAGCATGGAGAGCTGGAGCACATTCCGTTGGCATCATTTAATAAATAATAATAGTAAGTAATAATTCAACAGGCTGGCACAATTGGCTGATGCCATGACCAACGCCCTGGGCTGGAGGTGGATGAATCGATGCGAAGACAGGAGATGTGAAGACTCCCACTCTGGGGGATGTCAATGTGCTTCTCATGTGCGCTGATGGAGGAAGAAACATTCTATCTATTCAGTCCCTCCGTGCATATTGGGCTGCATATCCATGGGATGGATTATGCATATGGGTTTTTAAAAAAATCTGTATGATTCTGTTCCCCCAAAGCTTTACCATTGGTATAATCAGCTGCAAGAACCTGAATAAACCTCTTTGTGTTACAATCCGGACACAATTTCCTCACACATACTCTTTTGAGAGATGAGTCAAAGTAATCAAAAATTATTATATGTGTGTGACCTTTACAAATCAACTGGCAATTTCTGCACTTTCCATTAGCTTTTTAGCTCCCAGTGGTGCAAGATTGCGGTAGACGGAATGAAATGTAATTTGCAGATTTTCGAATCTTATAGGAAGCCACTGAAGTTCCTAAACTCCCACAAAGCATAGAGTTTTAGCAGGAATAGTTTCTGAAAGAGACCTTTAGAAGTAAATAAAACACCGATGATTAGATTCAGATTTACCGAAACCACACTGTGCTCCAAATCTATAAACTTTCAAAGTCGGGGGAAGGAATTCTGCATTTTTGCTTCTACAAGTCAGAAGGCCAATTCAAGAAATAGAACAACAGAATAAAGTGGTTTTTAACTGTGTATAATTTGCATGCATATTTCTAAACCATTTCAAATTTGATTGAGAGTGACCAGTGTGGGACTTCAGTGACAGAGAAGAATGGTTAGAGGTTCCAAATTGGGTTGAGACTAGACATGGGGAACAAAAGTTTCTACTAGAGCTGCTGATCCTCTCTTTGGGGTCAGTTTTCCCAGGCCCCACATAAGGTTCAGAACTGGTAACCACTTCTGAAGAATACAGAAGCTGCTCCACATAATGAATGGTGACTGTATGCCTGGTGCCAGTTAATTCATGTTCTCATCAGAATTGCAAATGAAAGGGGGAAAAGAGAGTTGGGGATGCAATAGTTAAAAAATCTCCAGAAGCACAGAGGGAGTTTCTTCTACAGCTGAGTCAAAAGGTCTACATGGTGAAGAAGGGTTGAGAAAAAGCTTATGTTGTCACCAGCTCCCCATTTTTCATTCATGCTGCCATTTTGGAACAGCACTGCATCTCCTGGTGGCCCATTGCTGGTAGCTGCCACACCCACCCAGATCCCACTGGAAATGTTGCTACAACACTATCATGTGATTTCATTCCTAGATAGTAGGAGATACAGAAGAACCACTGCCAGCATAGGCAAGCATCCTAAAAAGAAAACCTCCCAGAATGCTTCACCGTGTTAGTCATCTGCAAATGGAGGGGCAAATATCAATTCAGCCATAACTGCTTTTTAAAAACTGTCTGCCACATGACATTGCCTCTATGAGGTTGTATTCTCAGAAAGCTTCCATGTTTGTTCCTGGGTGAACCAGGCATGACATATATTTTTTTTTGCCAGAACCTGAACATAAGAAGAGCCTACTGGATTAGGCCAATGGCCCATTGAGTCCAGCATCCTCTTCTCACATTGATCAACCTTGTGGGAAAACCACAAGGAGGATTTGAGTCTCTCCTCCTGTGGTTTCCAGCAACTGATATTCAGGAACGCTGATGCCTCCAACCATTTTAAGAGCTTTTTGAAAGACATATTCTCACCTATCATTAATGTAAAGCAGAGAATCAAACTGCACATTCAACTTGCGGAGGAATAAGCATCATTGACCTGTTTCCTGCCGGGATCCATGACTACCCCTCTCTCATATCCTCAGTGTCACCAAACCTCTGGCTTAATCTTCTCTGTAAAACGTAAAGCATAAAACAGCCTGACACAGATTCAGTGACCTCAAGTGGTTTGTGTATCACAGCTTATAAAGTAATGGGAATGTTTATAATCTCTGTGCACTTCAAGGACCCCATTCTAAAGAGTTAAGGTTAATTCCCTCTGAAATCAGCACAACTTAACAACTCTCTTGTCCATTGGATTTCGGTCTGACTTAACCGTGCAATCCTACGCATCTCTACTCAGATGTGAGTTCCATTGTTTTCAGTGGAACTTACTCCTGGATACGTGTGAATAGGATTGCAGTCTTAGCCTGAATCAAAAGTATTGCCGAGTAGATACACATTACGTTGTGTGGTTCAGTGTGACTAACCTTTTCGCTATCAAGATTTCTATTTACATTTAAACCATCGTTTCTGGTGTTACTTTTGTCAAAGCCTTGATGATCTATGAGGAAACTGATTCTTTACATTCCACAATGATATCCAAGCAGTTAATAACCTGATGTGTTCTTGTTCTTGTTCTTGTTTTCCTTCTGCTACCTGTTCAGTATATTTGAAGCCTTTGGAATTAATTGATTTGGAAGCTAGAGAATTTTAAAAATGTATTTTTTCCTGACTAGGATATAAATTATGTCAGATCGCTTTCTAGATCTCAGACGTAAGTGTGTCCTTGACGATGGTTAAGCGTTGTAATGTTCTTCTTCTTTAAATGACTAACCCGGAGTAAGAGGTTGGAGCAAGAGGTATTTTGCAAAATTAAACCTGTTTCACCTGAACCTGTTTTAACTAGTTAATAAGAAACATCAAAACAAACAAACCAACAAAAAAAGACAAAACCCTGAGGTCAATGAACATTCTTTTTGTAAAGCTAGTGTTTGATGTTTAAATTTGTTTTTTTGGGGTCTGTCTATAACTTAAGTTTTAATAACCTAGCTCAAATGCAGATTTCTAATTTTCAATTAACATAGGAATAATTTTGTTTGCTAAAATAAAATAAATGAATGAATGGCGAGTCTGAACCATGAAATGTTCTAGGTAGAGCTTTTTAAAACATTCCAAATTTTTTCCAAAAAAAATAATAATCATGTGGCAACTGTATAGCTCAAGCTTTAAGTATTAACTTTTAACCTTTGACCTTACAGATTTTAACCAATGAAATGTCTCTTTAAACTTTAAAGGAAACAATGATAACGAGCGCCTGGCGATTGCTAGACAGCGAATTCCATATCGGCTTGGTCGAGTAGTTGATGAATGGCTACTCGACAAAGGTAAAAACATTGATTAAAACTTCAAATAAAAAATAATTTGAACATAACCGAGTAGTGCTTCATTGTAACACCAATAAACATAAAACAATAAATTTTTCGGTAAAACTAAATTAAAAACAAATTTTAAACAGTAAACTGTAGAGTAAATATTTGCATACCGTGTATATAATAATTTCTATATACATTTTAGTGGTATCGCCTGTTTAATAATCTTACCCTGTTAACTTAAGGTTAAAGGGACTGTTAAATATAATCCACTAACTCAATCTATGAAGGTACTCATAGCAAGCATTAACCAAAACTGATAAATCATTCATAGATTATATGACATGTTCCATCATCTAAATTATTAACTAAATATATTTATATTTATATATATTTATATATATATATGTATGTATCTGTATGTAGTTATGAGATCTTCATTACGGTCCTGAAAGAAACAAAGCAAAAAAAAAATCATTGTTTAAACTGTAGGTGATATTAAATAGTGGGCAATATGATTGCCAAATGAGATGAAGTCCCTTTAACGTTGGCTACATTCAAAGGGGATTTTGGAACAAACACTAATTAAAAGAGTTTAAAGTTGTGTGCATGCTTTTATTATGAGCAGAAATCAATCTGCAAAAGAGAATATTATGTTTATGAATAACAATAATAATAATAATGAGCTTGCATTGGTGAGGATTTCTGTTTTCAATAGCAATGTGACATGACTCTTCATTGATATATGTTTCATTCCTTAAACTTACTTTTTACATCCAAAACGTTTTTGTTTCTTTTAATTTTCTTCCTTTTTCTTTTCGTCAGTAGCCTTGCTGAAAGACAATCAGACATCTCTCTCTATTTCTTTCTTTAGCATTTTTTGTTTGTTTCTGAAATGCTCAGTATACTGTATGTATCTCATGCCTCTTCAGTGTGTGTGTGTGTGTGTGTGTGTGTGTGTGTGTGTGTGTAGGAAATTCATGTATGAATTTACAGGGAGATTCAGGAGCAGATAGCCTTACAAATGAATAGGATAGATCTATGAATGCTTGTATTTAATGATAATTTTTTTAATGTTAGGATTCATTAAACGAAGTGACGACATTTGCATGTAACACTAAACTGTGGCTTAGCGCCACATGGATGAACCTCCACAAGCCCAATAAGGGCATCAGGTTTACAAACTTTGCCCACCACTTCCTGCATGGATGGAAAGCCAGACTTTTTCTATGTTTACTTTCTCTCTTAAGGAACCTTGGCTTAGCGTTACATACAAACTAGGGATCCTTATGTCAAACAGCCTGGTTGGTTTGTAAACAGGCCAACTCCAAACCATTGCTTATGGTTCTGGCTTGTTTGAGGAACCTTTGTTTGCTGTAAACGAGGATTCCTGATTTCTACATAATGCAAAGCGGAGGTTCTTTGAAAGCAAAACTAAACTCGGAAAAACTCGCCTTCCTTTGTTGTGCGCGGAAAGGAGAGGTGTGGAAGGGCAAATGCATGAGCCTGATGCTTCACTTGGAACTTGTGCTGGGTTGTCCACATAGCACTAAACTATGGTTGCGTGTGACCTGGAATATTGGCATATTTACATATTACGTAGATCTACGTAGATGAATGCTTGTGTGAGAGAAATGTAATACATAAGTATTTGCAATCCTTGCAATTTTGCATGTTTTGCCTGATAGAACCGGCAATCAGAAATCTGACCTACAAATACACACACACACACACACACACACCTCTAAAGTTTGGACCAAAATAATAATGATCATGATAAAAAGAATGGGTGAGGAAGTAGTCTGTAGAAAATAGACCAAAAAAATTCCCAATTGGCCTTTCAAGCGAAAAGCAAACCCAACATAAATTTTAGAAATTACATACATAGATTGACAATTCTGCATTCCATGGACACCTCATTAAAAAAGCAATGAATTATGAGCAAAGTTCCTTTCTTATAGTTTATTGCTCTCATCCTCCACCCCATAACAATCTGTTTAAAAATCATCCTCTGTTTAAGAGTGTAGTGTTCGCAATCAACATTTTTTGCATGTATGTAATACTATCTTTGCAGGGCGTCAGCTCACAATCTTCAATAGCCAAGCGACAATAAAAATTGGAGGCAAGGAGCGGGGCCACCCATTTCAGGGGCAGCTTTCTGGACTCTACTACAACGGCTTGAAAGTCCTCAACATGGCCGCTGAGAGCGACACCAACATAGTGATAGAAGGGAATGTGAGACTCGTTGGTGAAGTGCCTTCCTCTATGACAACTGAGTCAACCGCAACTGCAATGCAGTCTGAGATGTCCACGTCAGTCATGGAAACCACCACCACCCTGGCGACAAGCACAGCTAGAAGAGGAAAGCCACCAACAAAAGAGCCCATTGGTCAGGTTAGTCAGCCATGATGGAATTTCTCGATGTTTGGGTTTTCTTTTCTTTTTACATTTCTTCTCTGGAGTTTCCGCAAATGCCTGCTTTCACAGGTCAAACACCTTTTGTGAAGATGTAAGGTGATGGTCACCAGGGCTATCCATAGATAGGGATAGCATTGACCTTGGTATCTGCATCCTGTTTGACAGCACAGATACTGAAATTGTGGGTTAGTCAACCATGATGGAATGCTTTGCAATTGTCTTTTATTTTTACGTGTTTCTGGATTTTCTGCAAGCATCTCCTCTTACAGGTAGAACAACTTTTTGGCATAGATAGGAGCTCTCAAGTTCTATTGACCACAATGTCTTCATCCTGCACATACGGTGAATATGTGGGTGCTGTGACCATGTGAATATCCAAGCAAATGTCTGAGTGGAGATACGTCTTTCCATACTGTGGCTTATACCAGCTATGACAAGACCGTGTAGAAAAAGGTTATTCAGCTGAGTTTCATCACTGACTTTTGGCGCACCACTGATAGGGGTGCCACAAATTGTATGTTTCACAACATCTGTCCTAGAAGTAGACATATCAGGTGTGTTTCTCGGTGGACATAATAGAGATACAGGCCCTAGACTATAATTAGGTAAAGTTGACTAATTTAGCAAATGTTGGGCTGATTTAGAAATTAAGAGCCTATCTGGTCCTGTTAATTCTTACTGTGTTAGAGCCTGCTATATACCAAGTCAGGCTAGCGATTCATTCAGTCAACAGCCGTCTCCAATCTGGTAGTGTTTTTCCGTTGTTTCAGTCCTATTTCCTACCCAACCTAGTTATCTGAGGTTGTCTGCCTGGAGATTGTTCAAGATATGATGTCCATTGAAACAAATGCTTTACAATAAGGTGCGGGTTCTCAAACAGAATTTAATGAGGTACAATGATGGCATTGACAGGGAGGCTCTGGATACAAATGTTCATATCACCTCTTGGACCCTCTAAAGCGTTGGGGCCAGTTTTGAATGGGCTCAGTTCAGTACCATTCCATCTTGCCAGTGCCATTTCACCTTGTATAGGTAATCTGTTAGAATCCTCAGATGATCACTGTGATTAAATTTCAGTTTGCCACCAACAGACACATGCAAAAACCCAGCAACCAAATGTTGCAGTGTGGCATGCTTCCACTCCAGCCAGTCATATGCTTTTTGAGGATACTCCCTTGCATTCCAGGCCACTAGTTCTTGTTGTGTGTATGTATTTCCCCCCTTCACCAACAGACACGCAGCATTCTTTGTCCACTGAGTATCTTTACTCCACACTGAGCTGTTTGCGATTTTACTGTGCTTAGGGTTTCTTCATCTTCTTAAATAACACTGTACTGCTGCCAACCTTGGGGTCTCCTCATGCCTCTGATGTGAGGTGGATGATGTTGTTTTGACTATGCGTGGGCAAAATCCACATAGGAATGGATGCCCCCACATATCAAAAGCATTTATACGCAACCACAGCAGCCCTAGTGATCTATGATCAGAAATGGAGAGAGAAAATTATACCAACAAAGGAGGAGTGGCAGATGAAATTGATGGGATATATGGAATTTGCAAATCTAACTAGTAGAATAAGAGATCGGGAAGATGGAGTCTTTAAGGAAGAATGGAAAATGTTTGCAGAATATACAAAGAATTGTGTTAAATGAATTAAAAACATTAGCAGGGTGGGAGTAAATTCAGCAGTTTCAGGTATTGAAGATATAGGGAGTAAGCAGAAAAATAAAACATATGGAGTAATTAGAACATGCAGTTGTAAATGGATAAATAAACAGAACCATGGAAGGTGGGAGAGGGAAGCTGATGATTATGAATGTCTGGTTATATTGATTGAAATGTGAAAAATTGTGATGGAAAAGTATAAAAAATACAGATATATAAAACAAAGCTCTATGGTCACATCCATACCATGCAGTTAATCTGTACTTTGTTAAGGGTACTGGCAGTTGTAGCTGTGAGGAGTAAACTACAGTTCCCAGGTTCTTGGGGGGCAGGGAGTGACCAGTGACAGTCATTATATCCTGCAGGATTTGTGCCCCCTGATCCTTTATTTTTCATTTCTCTTGTTTTCATCACATTCTTTGATTTATAGAGGCTGTTGGGCTCCTTCATTACCACATGAGCAATGGCATTTGCCAGCAAGCATCTCTTGTTAGACTCACTAGGCAAATTCAGATGTGTAAAACTGCTGAATCTCACTTTGGCTGTGAACTATTCCATCAGCATAATTAGGCACCACTTTATTGCTGTTGCTACTACAGCTGTACCTCGGAAGCTGAACGCCTTAGTAGTCGAATGCTTTGGCTCCTGAACGTCGCAAACCCAGAAGTGAGTGTTCCGGATTGCGAATGTTCTTTTGAACCCAAACATCTGGCGCGGGTTCCACGGCTTCCAGTTGGCTGCAGGAGCTTACTGCAGCTAATTGGAAGCCGAGCCTTGGTTTCTGAAAGTTTTGGAAGTCGAACGAACTTCTAGAACAGATTCCATTAGACTTCCGAGGTATGACTGTAGTAGTAGTAGCAGTAGTCCTGCCAACCTAGCATCCTGCCAACCTAGCAGTTTGAAATCACACCAGTGCAAGTAGATAAAAAGGTGTTTCCATGAGCTCTGGTTTCTGTCACGGTGTTCCATTGTGCCAGAAGTGGTTTAGTCATGCTGGTCACATGACCCGGAAAGCTGTCTGTGGACAAACACTGGCTCCCTTGGCCTGAAAGCAAAATGAGTTCCGCAACCCCATAGTCGCCTTTGACTGGACTTAACTGTCCAGGGGTCCTTCACCTTACCTCAGTAGTAGTAATAATACAGGGAGGCCGAGAGGAGGGTCTTGTCGTCTGGTCAGCCCAGGATCTCCAAACACACTGCCCAGGCTTGTGCCCCAGGGAGGGAGGTCACTTCAGTGTTGCTAATGCAGCAGGTTGACTTCACCCCTGGCAGCACACGCCGTCGTCTCTCAAGACGGATGGATGCCAGCAACAAAAAATGGTAAATTCCTTTTATGCCAGCAAGAGCTGCTCTGCCTTCTAGCGATGGCTCAACGCTGTGCTGCCCAGTCCTGCAAAGAGCACTTTCATCTCCCATTGACGTCACGAGGGCCCAGCCCCTTGCAGGAGGGAGCCACTGCCTTGCGGGAAACCTGCTTTTAAAGATGGCTTTGCCTTTATGTCCTAGATCTGCTCACTTTCCTTTTCACATCTGTTCTTTAAGGTGATGAGGGGGGGGGGGATGCCCTCAATTCCTGTCAAAAAATGGAGGAATGTTTGACTCTGGAACTTTCTGCGGTACTAAAAGGAGGAAAGTTACCTTTTCCTCCCGCTTTTAATTAATTAGTGGCATGAAGAAAAAAACAGGCAATTGAATATTAACTACTAATGGAAGAAAGTTAACGCCGGTACAAGCAAATGCAAGTTTAAGGAGAAAATGAGCTGATAAGGAGTAAATGATCTAATCAATTAGAGATTATTTGGTCCATTTGCAGGGCTATTGAATTCAATTAAAGATCACAGTTCTCATTTAAAGAAAGATAATTTAAATCTCTTATGGTTATTTATATAAAAGATCTCTCTCTCTCTCTCTCTCTCTCTCTCTCTCACACACACACACACACACACACACACACACACAACCAGGGCATTTATTTTTTTTAAATGCCCGAGCTAGACTTTTTACTAAAGTTATTTCTTGTTTTGCAGCAAGTCTGCAAAACTTTGAAAGCAGCCCCGGACCTCCAAACACACTGTCTGTAGCCACATACCATAAAATGGAAGACTATCCCACTGTTTCTGTTGACTATGTGGCTAGGTGTCCTATTTTAAGTGTCACAGTCCTCTTTTTAAGCTTCTGCTCACTTTAACATCCGGTGTCTCAGTTATCCATTACAGATCTGGGATTCTGAATGCTGTGTGGTTATGAAGTTTTTTGTTGCTCTGCCAAGTCTGCTTGGAAACTGTATCCCTTGCTGTAAAAGTCACGGCTCCTTCTCCTCACCCGTGCAGTCTTCCTCTTCCCACCTGGGCCATGTCCTGTGGCCTGCTAGATGCTGGACCTCCCCTTTGTTGTAACCTCAGTCAGGCGAGAATGAACCACACCATGCTAGCCTGCCTTTCAGTGCTCACACACTTAGGAGCATGAGATCCAAAGAAGATCTTTGCCGGAGGCAAAAGTATATGTGGCGCATACACACACATATATATCCCTTCATCTGAAGATCACTGGGCAGTTTACACCATAAGAATACAAAATGAAAATACAAAATACATAACAACAACAACAAAAATTCCCCTCCCACAAACACATTTAAAAGGCCATAGTAACAAGCAAAATAAAGGCCATAGATCATTTAAACAGTCAAAGGCCTGGGAGCAGAGGAATGTTTTCATCTGACACCTAAAGATATGTAATGAAGGCACCAGGCGAGCCTCCCTGGGAAAAGTATTCCAGAAATGGGGAGCCACCGCAGAAAAGGCCTTTCCTCGTGTTGCCATGAAGGTGGTCTTTCTATGTTCTACAACAGCTAGAACCACTGGCTGGCTTCTCCTCCATGAATCTGGAGGATACAGTGGTACCTCACAAGACGAATGCCTCGCAAGACGGAAAACTCGCAAGACGAAAGGGTTTTTGGTTTTTTGAGTTGCTTCGCAAGACTAATTTCCCTATGGGCTTGCTTCACAAGATGGAAACGTCTTGCAAGTTTGTTTCCTTTTTCTTAACACCGTTAATACAGTTGCGACTTGACTTCGAGGAGCAACTCATAGCATGCGGTGTGGTAGCCTTTTTTGAGGTTTTTGAAGACTTTGGTGATTTTTGAAGCTTTTCCAAAACTTTTTCGAAACCGTGCTTCGCAAGACGAAAAAATCGCAAGACAAAAAAACTCGCAGAACGAATTAATTTCGTCTTGCGAGGCACCACTGTAAAAGTTTTCCCAAGTTGCAAGAGGAACCTCACCGAATGAGGCATTCCAGAATGCCAGCTCTTGA